ATCCGCCATAGTTTTTTCTTATTTTTGCTGCATTCAATCCTGTTTCCTGAACGTTTTTTAATATATTGCTTATTCTCCTCATAGTCCTCAATGTCTTTCTCTTTGCTTGGTGTCCACTTTATTTTTTCTTTTAGTATGCTTATTATGTCTTGTTTTGGAGTATTATTTTGCTTTTTCATCCTTGTAACCTTTATTAATTTCAATCTAATTTTTACTACCAAAATATTGTAATCTATCGGTAAGTCAGCACTAAAATTTTATTTGGTAAATCTGTATCTATGTACAAACCACTTCTTATCATATATAACCACCTTGAACAGGAAGGTCAACGTATCTTCTCTTTTATTTCTTATACCCAGACCATCTTTTCACATGATATATCTCTTTACTCCCTTATTTCTTTATAGGCAATAATTCTCTTTTAAAATTAGTATTAAGGTTTTTAATATTTTCTTGTGTCGTTAGTATCCTGTCTAAAAATATAGCTACATTTGTTACACCTTTGTCCCTGTCCTTCGTAACAATTATTATCAACTCATTTTTGTGGTTTGATAGTAGTATGATCGCCTATAGTTAGTTTGCTAGAGCCTTGCTATGTCATTTCACTTATTCTAAGGATACTTATATCTAGCTACTTCATTTATTTAATGAAAACAAGTGATTCAGTGAAACGGCATGATTCAGTGGTTCAACATCACAGATAAGAGGTGGCAGTGTCAGAACTGCTGGCATACCACAGAATATTAAAGCGGTGCGAAACTCACTACAAGCGAGTCCTCAAATATCCCTGTGACAATGAAGCTTAAATCTAGGAATAAACTATGCCACCATGAGCAAAATTTTGTATAAAGATCTTTACTAGCATTATGCAAGTCCTTAACATGCGAGATTATCCCACCCGACTAGGTTTTTGTTAACAAATTTTGAAGCGTCTTAATGAAAACGAGAGCCTGCTGCATAATTCTTGGATGAGTAATAAAGCCCACTCTAATCTAGGTGTTAGATGTCCAGGTGCAGGTAAAGTTAAAACCATGAACAAAACTTTCTATTTCTCGGGTAATAATGATCCGGTTCATCGTAACGGGGTTGGAGTAATTTTAGAAGACAAATATAACAATGCCGTCACAAACTTTGTGCCATTTTCGGACCGATGTCTTCTTATTCAACTATCCGAAAAGCCAGTAAATATTAACATCATTCAAACTTATGCCCCTACGGCCGATAAACCCATAGAATAGCTAGAAGCGTGGTATGCTGAGGTAGAAAAACTTATAAAGATGACCAAAAAACGAGACCTATTAGGTGACTTTAATGCTAAGTTAGGGAGAGGAAAAGTTTCTGGATTGATCGGAGACTTCGGACTTGGAGCAAGGAACGACAGGAGAGAGAGAATGACCGAATTCTGCCAACAACACAACATGGTAGCGACAAATACATGGTTTAAATTACACCCTAGCAGATTGTACACTTGAACTTCACCACAACACAATAAAAAAAGAGTAATCCGTAACCAAATAGATTACATATTGGTCAACAAAAGATATCACAATGCAATCATCAGTGCAAAAACATATCCTGGAACTGACATCAATTCCGATCATAATCCTGTTGTTGCAAAAGTTCGCGCAAGATGGAAACTAATAAAGAAACAAAAACCTCAACACCAACTATTAGACATCCAATTATTAAAAAACGACACCATACATCAGACAGTAAATAAAGAATTAAACAAAAATTTAGGAAATATCGACCACAACAGAATTAGCGAGTACGATGATATAAACTTTCTGTGGAAAACTATTAAAGAACAAATGAACAATATAACAACAGAAAAACATCTAAAAGTAACACCTAGAAATAACAAACAGGAATGGATGACAAAAGAGATTTTACAATTAATGAACAAACGAAGAGAATCTAAAGGAAAAAATGACAAGGACGGAGAATACAAAAGACTAAATAGAATAATTCGAAAAAAAAATAACCGAAGCAAAAGAGAAATGGCTGGAAACAAAATGCGTTGAAATAGAAGAACTGCAACAAAGGCACGATTTTTTAAATTTACATAAAAAGGTAAAAGAGTTTACATTGACTACCAAGAGAACGACTTTTCACACCATGCTGAACACGGATGCCAAACTGCTAGAATCAACGGAAGATAAACTGAGAGAATGGGAAAACTATATTAAAATTCTTTTTTACGACATATGAGAAAAACCAAGATTGGAAAATAACAACGAAGGGCCAGCAATTATGAAATCATAAATGCAATTAATCATCTCAAAATAAATAAAACCCAGGTCCAGACGGAATATACCCAGAAACGTTAAAATTAATCAGCGAAGAAAATATCGAAATATTTGTCCTTTTATTCAATCGCATTTATGATACAGGTAAAATACCCCAAGATTGGCTGGAGTCAATATTCATCCCACTACCAAAAAAGCCGAACCCACAACACTGCATTGAGTTCCGTCTGATAAGCCTTATGAGTCATGCAGTAAAAGTCCTACTAAAAATCGTGCATAATCGTATCTATAGAAAGTGCGAAACAATCATCGGAGACGATCAGTTTGGATTCAGAGCCGGCATCGGAACGAGAGAAGCCCTGTTCAGTTTACCAGTTCTCGCCCAAAAATGCTACGACCAAGAGAAAGATATATTTATATGCTTTATAGACTTCGAAAAATCATTTGATAGAGTAGAACACGACCTACTATTAGAACGTTTGCAAGAAGTCGGTTTAGATGGAAAAGACATCAAATTCTTAAAAAACTTGTATTGGAACCAAAACGCCAGAGTTAGGATCGAAGGTTCCACATCCGCAGAAGTAGAAATTAGGAGGGGAGTTAGACAAAGATGTGTTCTGTCGCCTCTGCTGTTTAATCTTTACTCCGAGTTTCTATCTAAAGAAGCATTGGAGAATTCCAAGGATGGAGTCAATGTGAATGGCGTAAATATCGACAGTATCAGATACGCCGATGATACAGTGTTAATTGCGGATTCCGACTTAGGTCTACAACGACTCATCAACAAGACCAACTCGACCTGTGAGCAATTTGGTATGAAAATAAACATTAAAAAAACCAAAGTGGTGTCAATCCAAAAAAACCAAAACGTACCTCAACCTTGTACAATAAATGGGCACATTTTAGAACAGGTCGATAGATTTAAGTACCTGAGATGTTGGATCGATAGCAGCCTAAATCCTGATCTAGAAATAAGATCGAGAATAGAACAGGCCAGGAAATCTTTCGAAAAAATAAAAAAACTGCTTTGTGATTCTCGAATAAGACTCGAAATTCGACTACGTTTATCAAAATGCTACGTCTGGTCGACTCTTCTATATGCAGTTGAAACGTAGACCCCTAAAACATCAACCGTAAATAAATTGGAGGCCTTTGAGATGTCGATCTACCGGAGAATACTCAAAATTTCATGGACATCGCATACCTCAAACGAAGAAGTGCTGCATAGAATAGGCAAGGAAAGAGAACTTTTTAACACAGTAAAAGTTAGAAAAACATCATACCTAGGCCTTATACTGAGAAATAATAAGTACCAATATGCTCAACTTATAGTGAAAGGAAAAATCGAGGGAAAGAGAGGCCTAGGAAGGAAAAGACTATCGTGGCTCAGAAACATCCGACAATGGACAGGGCTAAATTTTGAACAGCTAATAATAACAGCTGGAGATAGAGAAGAGTTTAAAATTGTAGTAGCCAACCTCCATTGAGGAGAGGGCACTTTAAGAAGAAGAAGAATCTAGGTGGGTATGTAAATAAACAAAATGTCTACTATTGATCCTTCAATAATCTGCGGCAATTCCACGAAAGACTCCTATGGTTAGAAAAGATAACCGTGTGATGTGCAATTTTTTCGTTAGGGATCATCGGAACTTATTTTTTTGAGGATGAGGATGGGCCCGTACTAATACTTAATTCTGATCGCTACGTGCACATGTTGAATATTTTTTCTTCCGGAAATCAAGAATTACAAAAATGAACACACGACCTTTTAACAGGATGGTGCAACATGTCACACAAGTGTGTCAAGGGTTTTACTAAAAATATCGTTCTCCGAACATCTTATAAGTAAAACCGGCGATATTCCCTGGCCACCTCGTAGTCCGGACTAATCCATATGCGTCAAGTTTCTTTGGGGGTATCTTTGGCTGTGTTTCATAGTAACTCCCCAAGAAATATCAAGGTTTTCAAGGATACGGGAAGAAATTGAAGCAATACCTTAAGAAATGTTAGTCAATGTCGGAAACAGCTTTGTATCACGGCTGCAAGAATGTGTACAACAAATGAAGGACTTCCAAAGCTTCATAGATCTTCAAAAACTGAATATTTCTTCACTTTCACATCATTTTCCATCTATGTACCTACGTATTTTTAATAAATTCCTCGTATTATGAATTTTTCGTAACTCGTACGCATTTCTTACATTCTATGTACATATTTTCCACTTTTTAGAAAATTCATTTATGTTTCTAGCTAGTTATTAGATTCTTAGTAGCCATGCGCTATTTAAGGAGTATCCGTACTTGGGATCGTTAAGTTTATCATCTATCAGGTACCATGTTTTTTTTTGAGAATATTATGACCTAGATGGTTTCATGTTGCCTTCCTATATTATATAGTACAATAAAATTGTGCGACTCAGTCTACTAAAAAGATTAAATACTTTTTACTCAAAACAAGTTAAAAAAGAATAAAATGTCGAGATCTTATAGTCCGATAGGTGCGTTTCATTGTCATATTAATATACTTTGTGTTCCCGCCCAAAGTAATGACTACAGGCTGTACCACCAGCAGGTCCTAACTTTGGACAATATGGTGCACGTTATTTCACACGTAGCACACACGTTTCACACCATTGAATTCGTATTATAATAATACCATGGTCTGACCTGTAGGCTCCGGGTATACTTATACATTAGAAATTTTCGACAAATATATTGTAAAGTTTAACTATATATAATTTTTTTTTTGTAGGTGCCTCAAAGAGAAACCGAAACAACCCAACTTGCAAATGGTAGTGCCAACGGTATAGCAGTTTCTTCTTCTTCGGGAGGAGAAGGCTGGAAAAACGAAGCTCTTCACGTACCTGCACAACAAGAGGTCAATCCAACCTTATACGAAGAATTAAAATTGGGTCAAGATGGTGCTGGATTTAAGAGACTAAAACCCTAGTATGAGGACCTAGGAGTTAATGAAGGCATAGAATCTAGGTTTTAAGCAATTGTCACACGTTGTGATAGTAGGATATTAAAAGATATATAACACTTCGGGCAGTTATATAAGTCAAAGCTATTTTAAGAGTAGCGTTGCATTAGGTGACCAATTGTGGATATTTGCCCGCAAAAATTTTGTATGTAGTTCTTAGGTATTGTATACATTTATTTTAATATTTTCACAATACCTCAATAGCGTAGTGTCACTGTTAGATTTATTAAACAAATGTGATTTTTATTGTAAATTTATTAACAATTTGGTATATTATCGACGAAGTGGAAAGAATGTGTATTACTAATTAAGTTTTATATTATATAACTAAACGTAATTAAAGTGTGTAAAGAATTTGAACTATCGTAGAGAGAAAATTATTGAATACAATAATATTTAAAGACAAATATAAAGAAAACTACATCTTTTTAATTTTTTGTTTTGTCATTATAAATTTGTCCTTGTTTTTATACACAAAATTATTATGCAATTATTACATATTGTTTCTTTTCTAGATATCTTTTTATCTTGTATTATTTAGACCCCAAATTGTACTTTTTTCTTTGCTGTTTTGGTGATAATCAGTCTTCAATTTTATTTTATGATTTAGCAATTCTATTTCTCTACTTTTTAAGACTTATCATTTTAACTTTGTTGTACATTCTATATTTCTTTTGTCTTTGTCCTAATTTTTCACTAAACTTTTTTATCTTTACAATATTTTATTTGATTCTAAAATGATACAAATTAGCAAACTATTGTATCAAGTAATTTTTAACTTTAAGTTTGTTTACTGTTTCTTTCACAAATTATATTAAATAATTTTAAATGATTATGAATGAATAAACTGTATCTCCTAAAGAACGTAAATATGTTTATCAATTTATTATATAGTTACTAGCAGTACCTACTCTTTCCATAATTACTATATAATTGTGGTCTTAGCTTTGTAGATCCTTGTATTACCATGTATATATCGGGTGTCACCCTTTTTTCTCAGATTTCATGGGACTGACTTGTTTACAAATGTAACGTTTTAATACTTGAAATCTGCTTACCTGAGTGGTAGTTTAAAAAATATTAGTTAAAGCCGGCTCTCAACAGACGAGCAGTCGTTGTTTGTGGTCTCCATTTGGGTTCAAGCAAACAAGCAAGAAATAGAAATGAACCCATCCTATGAGACTTGCACACCCCTTCTACAATGACATTGGGGTCAATTATAATACAAAATACAATTCATTGGGGGATAAGTCCGCCCCAATGCTTCTGGCGCTATGTAGGCTAAATTGCCAAAAACGCTTGCCATGTGGGAGTCCTGAGTACAAAACCAACCATATGATATATTTCCGCGTTAAGCATAAAACACACCTAAGCGATTACAACGCGATGGCGTTCATAATGGCGACCGCGATTCGACTTGTCTAAAACAAATAAGTTAATCAGCACATACTTGTCGCGACCTGCTGGCGATCGAAGGAGTTTGTGCAGCGTTCTGTCGGCAATCGCGACGATATGATTGGTTTTAGCGTTCCAAACGCAGCAGTTTACATTTATCGCGGGTCGCCTCAATGGAAATAAAAATGGATTTCGAGAAACTTATTGAAATTGTAAAAAAAATCTGATATATTGTTCGAACTGTCCCATCTAGTCTTTGTTGTTTGATGATGTCATTTTTTATCTGATCTAAAATATCACAAAAAACTTTTAAAATTCATTCTAAATATGTATAGAAACCTTTCTTATATCTGCGGTTATGGTTATTCTAGGTACAATTTATGAATTTGCCCTTGTTGCCTGTACCTCGGGTTAATGTCATGCATCCAAATATCTTATTTTTGTGCCAAATAAACTGCATAAATATCTGCATTTGCAATTGGAAAAAAATAGAATGTCTACGCATATAAAATTTCTTTCTTTATCCGAATTCAATATGCTACATACCTTCGAACTCGATTGAACTAATCTTTACCTAACAATGCTGCAACAATCTATGCTTCTTCTTGTAAACATTTTATACACTATATTTACAACTGCATTATTTATACTAATGAGATCGTATGTCGCTATCGGTCCGATGTGTTGATTTCTAAAGAAACCGAGATCGCCATTGCTAACATGGTCGCTTTGGATGTGTTATCCGCTTTCTGCGAAATAGCATGAGGTGATAGTCTCGCTACCGTCTCTACAGACTTATGTTCAAAATACATTGCTTACTGGGTTAAGCGCCACTCTGGGTTAAGCTCAGTTTGGCAACTCGGCGCTCTCGTGTGTCGCCCTTTTTCTAGATTTTGTTAGCATTCTCTTTGTGGCATGCATCTTTTTTTAATATTATTTTTTGTAACTGCGGCCTTTTTGAGGGATATCTGAAAGAAAAACCATATGAAGTACGATGTCCCAAGATGTTAAGATATCCTATTTTGCCTTATGTCTTCTTGTTATAGACCAATAATATTATATATACTTTATTAGGTATTTGCTATGGTTTGTTGTTTTCTTATTATGTGCTTCCATCTATGAAACACATTATACCCTAATATCTCTCGCAAGATCCGATTCAGATGGTCTTCAAGCACTTCTTCTTAACGTGCCCTATCAAGTCCCCTTGACGTTGGCGATTAACATGGTGAAACTGTATCTATCTCGAACTATTCTAAACAGTTGCTCAGCTTTCTTTATTCCTGTCTACTCCCTGATATTCTTCAACCAAGAGGCCTGCTTTCTACCAATTCCTCTGCGTCCTTCGATTTTTCCCATCAAAATAAGTTGAAGAATATTCTATCGGTCTCCCCTTACTACGTGTCCAAAATAGACCATCTTTCTACATTTTATGTTTTCAAGCAGCTCGCGAGCAGCATTTGCTCTTTCAAGGACTGCCACATTTGTGAGCATAGCCGTCCATGGAATTTTTAGTATACGTCTGTGCAGCCACATCTCAAAAGCCTCCAGACGATTAATCGTGGATATTTTTAATGTCCATGCTTCGACACCGTATAAGAGGACTGACCAAATGTAGCATTTAACCATGCGCTTTCGAAGTTAAAGTTGCAAGTTATCATGACGAGACATTTTTAAAAATGTCGTGCGGGCTATCTCGATTCTACATTTTATCTCTTGATCTGGATATAGTTGTTCAGTAATATGGCAACCAAGATTAAAACTGGACACTCTTTGAATTATATGACCATCAACATATAATCGTGCATCTTGATGTGCTAAACGGCTAAACAGCATGTGTTTTGTTTTTGAACAGTTTATGTTTAGGCCAAACTCTCTTCCCACTTTATCAATGGCATTTAAAAGGCATTGTAATCCATTCATGTCATCACTTAAAATAACTGTATCGTCTGCATATCTGATTGTATTTATCAGAATTCCATTAACTTTCACGCCTCATTCCAAATTATGCAGCCCTTCTTTAAATATTCTATCTGAATATAAATTAAATAACAGTGGGGATAGTATATAACCCTGTCTGACACCTCTTTGTATTTTACATATTTCTGTTGATTTTCTGTTTATGCAAGCTGTCGCTGTTTGACGCCAGTATAACTTTTCTATGAAACGTATGTCTTGACTATCAACTCCTTTATCTTTTAATATTGAAATTAATTTGTGATGCTGTACTCGATCAATGGCCTTTTCATAGTCAATAAATACAGCAAAGACGTCTTTCCTTTGATCTCGACATTTCTGCAGTAATACATTTCTGCAGTAATACAAATTGTGTTTCATCCTGATCTTCTTCACATTTATCTCTGATTCTACTGTGGATGATGCGTAGAAATATTTTCAAAGTGTGGATCATAAGGCTTATCATTCTATAATCTTTAAGGTCGTGGCATATTATCATACACTTTCCGTTTCCAGCCTGTAGCGTTTAGTTTCCGAAAAATATCATTTAAATGGTTTTAAATATGAACAACTCACACTGTCCGGAAGGCACCGTTACAGACACCTAACGTGACCGTTCAGTACATTCAAAATCAATATTTTACTGATACCTACAGCTACGTAACGGGCCGTAACCGGTTGGTACGGAACATGTGAATTAGGGGTCCGTCGTTTTCCCCTCGTTGTTTATTTAGGAATTTGTTTGATTTTGATACAGACTATTTGAAAAAATAATTTTCGAGACTATTTTGTCATTTATACATGTGTTTTCATTGCTTTGTGACATTCTTTGTGTTAAAATGGATTGAGAAAAATTAATTGAACTTGTACGCGGTGAAGAAATTTTATATAATTACAATGATAAATGCTATCATGATGCCAATAAAAAAGAAAATATTTGGAGGGAAATCGCACGAAAATTAGGACAAAATGGTAAGTAGGTATCAAATTAAACGACAAATATTTAATCCGTCCAAAATGTACTAATTACAAAAATACATAGAAATTATTGTTGCCAGTCAAGTTTTCCAGCAGCAGATTGAAAAAATATTTTAAAGTTGTCCCTTACTGTGAATGCTAATAATGAATTATTTCCACCCTGTCTAGGCAGACTAGTAAATTCCTCGTCATTTTTTTTGTCATTAGGTAATAAATGTTCTGAATGGGCCCCAATAAAATTATGTAATATGCACGTAGTTAGTACCACCCTGTCTACAAATTCTGGTTTCAATTGGATTCTTCTATTATAAATTCGAAATCTTTGAGATAAGATTCCAAAGGCATTTTCTACTACCCTCCTAGCTCTTGATAATCGGTAATTGAAATGTTGTTTTTCTATGTCATCACATTGAGCTGCAGGATATGGCCTCATTAAGTAGGGCTTTAAGGGGAAAGCCTCATCACCTACAATAACATGTGGCATCTTCAATTTCATTCCTGGGAAAGGTTTATCCTCTAACTTAATTTCGTTTTCTAAATATGTTTTTAAATAGGAATTATGAAAAATGCCTCCGTCACTATTCTTGCCATAGCTGCCTATGTCTACAGCTATGAACTTATACCTAGCATTCACCAAT